TTTGAAGTAATCTTCTTTAATTACTCAAGTTATTGTGACCAGGACTGACTCTTATAATTACTAGCTGAGGTAACGCAACTGTTAGGGTTGTTGCGCGAGGATACGAAGGTCGATGGTTCGAGCCCTCGGCGACCATATCTTTTTTTTTTTTAATTATTCCATATCACATAAATTCAATTTATTTTGTTTGAATTGGATAGCAATTGTAAACACTCTTTTGAGTGCAACCATCTCCAAGGTAATAAAAAATACTGTTTATCAAAATTGTACATTCCACTTCGTGAATAACTATATAAGTAGGTAGTTAATTTCTAAAAAAGTAAATTCTGTATTTTATTACTGTCATTATGTTCTTCTTCGCAGTTCGAGTTGGAATATACTCAAATTATGTTTCCTATTTCTTATATATATATCTCATTCAATCATGAAATAGTCATACGAATACAACTCGTGATACTATTTTTCCTGGAAATATTCGTCGATTGACATACTCCAGCTTGCTGCTCTAATTTCGCTCATGACATTGATCCAATAACAATGTCATTCACGAAATTACTAGGCAACAAGCTGTCGTAACAATCACCGAATATTTCCGGCAAAATATTATCACTTGTGGTATTATACAGGGTGTAAATTTGAAAACTTCCAATGCGAATATCTCGCGAAAGAAAAAAGTTAAAAAAAACGCCGTTTGGCAAGAATGCTAAAGAGTTAAGGGGAACTAGAACCACCATATTTCGGTCAAGGGATGAGTCACCCCGTCGGCGCGACACACCCCAACTTTGAAATGTCAAATGGCACTACCTTTTTTGTGATGCCTCAAATGAACAGTCTCAGTCAGTAGTATTCACCTGTACAAGACTTTTTTTTTTCCACCCACTACAGGGTGTACGAAAAATATAAAGTCGAATAAAATGAAATGAATTGTGTTAAAAGGATATTTTACTTGATCAGATGTTCAAAATGCATTCCATTCTGTTGTAAGCAATAGTATAATCGATGTTCAAATGCCATTCTAACATTTTGGAACACATCTCTTGGAATATATCGGCATTCTGCATTTTATTTTATTCGACTTTATGTTTTCCGTTCACCCTGTAGTGGGTGGAAAATAAGTCTTGTACAGGTGAATACTACTGACTGAAACCGTTCATTTGAGGTATCACAAAAGAGGTAGTGCCATTTGACATTTCAAAGATGGAGTGTGTCGCGCCGACGGGGTGACTCATCCCTTTACTGAAGTATGGTGGTTCTAGTTCCCCCTAACTCTGTAGCATTTGTGCCAAACGGCGTTTTCCTAACTGTTTTATTTAGCGAGATATTCGCATTGAAAGTTTTCAAATTCAGACCCTCGAATTAATGTTTTTCGTACACCCTGTAGTGGGTGGAAAAAAAGTCTTGTACAGGTGAATACTACTGACTGAGACCGTTCATTTGAGGTATCACAAAAGAGGTAGTGCCATTTGACATTTCAAAGTTGGGGTGTGTTGCGCTGACAGGGTGACTTATCCCTTCACTGAAATAAGGTGGTTCTAGTTCCCCTTAACTCTCTAGCATTTTTGCCAAGCGGCGTTTTTCTAACTTCTTTATTTCGCGAGATATTCGCATTGAAAGTTTTCAAATTTACACCATGTATATATGAAAACCTTTCTCCCTCATAGTTATTGTTCACGTATCTCGGCGATTTTTCAATAACCGTCTACTCAACTAGATATTGCGGGTGGGAAGTTTTTGAAATGAACACCCGGTTTAAAAAATGTAGTAGTGATGTTTAAAAGAAACCCTTATGTTATTTCGATCAGTAATACGACTTTTCAAAGTTACGTAAATAAATAATGAAACCCCTGCTCATAATTACTTTCGGGCATGATGGATTTGTTCTCCTGTTGCCTAATTAAAATATCCTTACTATGGATTCTTCCTGTTTGTTTTTCAACGTCAATCAAAATTATCTGGATGAATTAATCTGAATTATCCTTTGCTGGCCCAATTACTGAAAGATTATAATATCCATTATTAGCGTAGTCTCAGTCTTACTTAATCAATTTTCGTTATCTTCATCCTGCTTTGATAATCTGATCGTTGCAGGCCAGGACTGGCAAAAGGAGATAGGGGCACATACCTGTCACATTTCACATGATACGAATTTCAAGTGAAAATGGTTATTTTGAGAAAACTCAATTTCAAAACCTTGTATTGCTCATACTGTGAGAAATATTATTTCTCATGGTCCTTCGCCAACACCACATACATTTTTATGGATAATCAAGAAAAATCGACAAAAACTTAGTTGGCTGTTGTTCAGATTTAAATAGTTGTCACAACTCAGCAGAAGTTTTTCAAATTCTTAGTGTAGTTTTCATTACTTCTTTAAAAAAAATCGCAATTTCCATATCAAATATAACATGAACACTGAGAGTATAGTGACGATTTTGATAATACCCCGTCAGAAATATTGGAAAAAGCTGCAAAAGTTAGATTTGTTGCCAAAAATTACAAGAAAAAAGTATGAATTGGCATGCGAAAGATTTATGGAATAATGCAGACAAAATTCAAGAATTTGGAAATTGGGATACCTACTTTGAGATGTTGAAAACTAGAAAAGGCGTCTACTCTTTGGTTATAACATTCAATGTTACGGAGTACTATCAGTATAAAATTGATATCAATGAGTACTTGTATTCATTTTTGTGCAGATGTAGAAAAAGTATAGTGTGCAACATGTGAGGAAAAGTACTTTTGTCATACATATACTATTTTTGAGAGATAAGAAAATCCTTATTGAAATATATAACAGCAAACAACTACTTTCTCGAATAATACCACATAGAATATCGAATTAAACGATGAGAAACAGTGATTATGGATATAAAAGATTAACAATAATCAATCGCAGAATATCTCAAAATCAGATATTTTAATATAAACAATTCACTGTGTATATTATGATATCGACACATTGGAAACAATATTGTTTGTTTAGAATTCGATAATTGATTGCAATAAACAAATTCTTGCATGAAATTCAACATTGAATTTCCTCGAAAACATTTCACAGAGGTATTTTGAGCATTATGCCTACTGATCACTGTTGAAAATGATTATTATATATCCCTAAACTGGGTGACAAACAATATTCTGAAAAATATATCTCCAAAATAATTCGAAATGATTCATTTCAAATGAAAAGTTTCATATTCTCAACCAGAAACATTGTTCATTATTTTTTGTTTTGGACTCGTCCGTTAAGTGATGATAACCCATAAATATAAATTACCTCAAAAACGATAAGATGTTCACAAATTCTCAACAATTACACGAAATGTTTCGTTAACGCAGTAGCTTCTTCCCTTCTTCGAGTGGAATATTCATTCAATACAATAAAATTGAACTCAACAAACATTTCTCAATGTGAATTTGTCGTTTTTAAATCCATATTTCTACCAAATATGGTTATGATTTATTTTTGATGTTTCATTGGTCATCATTTATGAAAAACAAAAAATGTTCTTTAAACGAATCAGTTCATATTGTTTCCTAAATGCTTCTAACCCCCTTCCTACCAGATCAATGGAGCTTCATTCCTTTTATACTTTCTACTTTCTTTAGCTTATATTCAGGGAAATACATCTTCAATTCAGATGTTATTTCATGAAAATAACTACAACTTTTTGTGCTCAATCTTTTTTGAGTTCCCAAGTAATAACTGTAATCTTTTAGGGTTTTCATGTGATGACTCTGCACTTTGTTTTACTTCAAACACTACTCAAGTATTACAAAATTGGTAGGTAGCCACATCTTTAATCCATATAAATACTATTTATTTCCTTTTTTTTTTTCTTTAAAACATACACACACTTTTTTGGTTTTCATGTTTTTCAACTGTGTTTTTCTGCACACAACTCAGGTGTCGTTGAGGAACGTCGAAAAATAAATTGATTGATGACCGACGCTGGAGTCACAACATTGAAACACAACCTCACTTTCCTTATTTGTTTACAAATGATTGAAATTGTTTTTCACAATTATTCTGTACAGCTTATTATTCATTGTACATCACATTGTGCTGTTGTACAATGCACAAAATATGCAGCGAGAGACGAAGAAATCCGGTTAGTACATTATGATTAGGAAGTAAGTACCTATACTATAGTCACTCACATATAGTTTTCATTTTGACATTTGGTAATTTCTCTGATTTCTCATCGGAATTCCTTTTGCAATAGGAGCTAATAGAAATACTCGTGAAATTTCAGAAAGAATGCAAGAAAATTGGATTCATGCAATCAAACGGGAGGACTGGTCTGACATGCTGACGAAATATGATCGTGTGTGTTGTAGACAGTTTCAATCTATTAGCAGTTATTAGTTTCTATTGCAGAAGTGGCTGAAGGAATTTTAATAAGAAATGACAAAATTTCATGATGAAAACTTTGTCAGATTACTATTTACCTGAAAAGTCATATTCCTTCGTCTCTCGCTGCATTTTTTGTGTATTACAACAGCACAATGAGAATGCATGCTTGCTTGTATTGATGAATAGCGCAAAAAACACGATTCGTATGCCAAAATATTGTGGAAAACTATTTCAATCCTTCGATTCCTCTGCAAAAAAATTGAAAAAATGTGGTTGTGTTTCAATGTTTTACAGAAAAGTGAGGTTGTGCTTCAAAATTTTTCCTCCAGGGTCGGTCTTCGTGCACGCGACCTCTTATAATAAAAGGTTAACTAATGAATTCCACTCAGTGTAAACAAATTCATACTTTCTCAAGATGACAGTAACATTTCAATTCTGAGTAATCAAATCATTACATGCCAAATATTTTTCAATGCAAACATACACCCCAAACAAGATCAAGCAATTACACAAAATTAGAGTCACTGGATGGTATTAGTTTGATAACTAATACCATCCAGTGACTCTACACAGAATAAGGCTATAAAATAGATGTAGATGGTTGAATAATCAAAAATGTGTTTTGTTTTGTTTGTTTCATCAGATACCTTGTCGGTGCATGGAGAGGCCGTCGTTCAGCAAGGCATCGAATTAGGTTCAGAATGTATCGAAAATGCGAGGAGACTCAGCAGAATCGGTGAGTCCCTTTACATCGTGTCGTGGATTGTAAAGAACCAAATGATTAATTATTTCCTTTCCAGTACGGCTCCTTATAGCTGACTTTGCTGTCCTATCCGGAAGAAAGCATGAAACTTGGCATGCATGTATATTTCATGTATTCATTACGATACAAAAGTATGGAATACATTCGTTTTTGAAAAGCTCAATCAAATGATATCCATAATTATTATACAGGGTGTTCCTTAATGATATGCTAATATTCAAGGGGCCGATTCTTCGACCCATTTCAAGAACAAAACTTCGTATGAACATATTATGTCGTTAACGTCCTAACTTTTGAGATACAGGGTGTCAATGTTGAAAATATGCATAGATTATTTTTTCGTCCACCCTGTATAGCATTTCGTGATGGCAAAATTCAGTCTGCCATGTGACTGAATCGGTATACAAATTTCAAAATGTTACATACTGTGGTTATTTAGTAATGGATGTCCTGAATGGAGTACTCAGCCATAAAAATTTGAAGTCTGGTCTCGTTTTTCCGTTTTTCCTCGAAAACGAAGCGTTCTATCGAGTATCAACAGGAGAATCTTTTTTTGTACATAATTATATAGCCTTTTATAGCATTGTATAGAATTTGAAAATTTTCCGTCGTTGCTCACTTTCAAGTAAAATATAAACAAACAAACATATTCCCGTAACGGTGCCACTAGTACAGAAAATGCACCTTGATGCATAAAAGACGTGTACCAAATTTCATGCAGATGTTTACAATATTTTCTCAGTTTTTATCAAAAAACTGAATATGTTTCAGAACTTCATCACCCTGTATCTCAAAAGTTAAGACATTTACGACATACGTTCATTTGAAGTTTTCTTCTTAAAATGAGTCAAAAAATCACCCTCTCAAATATTAGCATGTCTTTAAGGAACACCCTGTATATCGTCTATACTTTATGTTTTTACTTTCCCGAAAAGGCTTTTTAAAAAAGCACTTTATATTTCGAAAGACAAAAATTATTTATTCAATCAGTTATTACAATATAAAAATATACGTCTTTACTCAACCAAGATCATGTCTATTCTAAATTGCGGTTCACAAGGCATTTCATTCTTTCCCTGAAGTCGGATTTCTGCTGATGTTGATGTCAGCAGGTTCTCACGGGAAACCGGGTTGCTGCTTACATAACTCCTCCATCCCTTAGAAGGAACTCGAGGGTGGAACAACTTGAGTTTCGTTGATGGCCATCCTCTGGGGTTCTTGTGTTCGTTTCTTGCAAAACCATGTCTGGACTCTGCTTCTTTTGGCGATGCATAGGTAGGCTAGGACGCACATGACAAGCGTCGCGACGCTCCCAATGAACCATAGGGAATATCTTCTGTGAAGGCTGATCGTCTCAAGAGGTTCGTCTTGTAGTTGTTGTAGTTGAAGCTCGTGTAGTTTATCAAGGGAAACTTTCTCGAGTCGCAGTTTTTCAACATGAAGAGTTGTCATATTGAAAGCTTTGATTTCTTCCAATAAAATGGGATGTCCTATAATGACACCCTTCTCATTCTTGTAGCTGTAGGTTGGTGTTTTTATGGAACATGCTGGTGGAATAACAAAGAGGTACGTGTCACGGACTATGGCCACATTGTTTTCTTTGCAATCAAGATGGAGTTTCTGATTTTCTGGGAAAATACCAATATAATGGGATTCATTGATTTCTTCAATCAACTGTCGACTGACGTGGATCGGAACTTGTTGGCAGCTGATTAAATTGCTTTCGGCAGACAGAAGTGATGTAATGCAATCCAAGTTCTCTCGAAGGGGTAGAAGATGATTCTTCTTGCAGAGGTAGTTTGGTCTAAGCTCAATGCATTCTTCGTTGTGGTATTGAAAGTCTTCGTTGCTCAAGGTTATATAGGTTGCAGGAGGTATAATTATTGATTGGTTTCGATTAGGAATTGGAAAAAGGTGATAGTGTTCAAATGTGTTAGGGTGAACCAGAGGGAAATCAAGTGAAAATATCATTTTGTCATCAGATATAAAAACGCTGGTTTCTACTATACTATAATATTTGAGGTAATCGTCTAAATGAAACAGCATTTGAGATTCAGTATGTGATTTATATAATTCATTTATTATTTCTTTGAGATCTTTTGGAGAAACAATACTATGATGTAGAGTTTTAAGGTATGCAAAACTCACAGCATTTTCAGTTTCTGAAAGGAAATTTAGGAGTGAATCAAGATTAAGTTTAATTTGGTCCAATATATCATGAATTGTCAAATAATGGGAAAATAGCAGAGATTGATCATTTAGGGCTTTTGTCAACAGATTAATTTTATTTTCGATTAAATTTTGATTTTTCTTGAAAGTAGTCATCGTGTCATTGATATTATTCATCAGATTAGCTGTTAATGAAATATGTTTGTTCACCTTCTTGATTATTTTGCTCTGATTGCGTTCGAGTTCCGAAATGCTACCATAGATTTCTTTCGCGTCTTCTTGGTCAAGATTTCCAGTGAAAAATTTCAGAAGTGATCCTGCTGGATTTACTAAGCCTCTTTTCGTTCTCTCTTTAGGAAATAGTGAGTTCATTTTCATATTTACTGTGTTTACTTCATATTCAAGACGATTATAAATATTTTGTAGATTATCGGTTCTAATAAGATGACGATTGTTGATCAGCGTACCCAAATGGTTGTACTGATCGGTTGTTGATTGAATTTGTTGACGTAAATAATAAATTTTGATATAGTGAAGGAAGGTATGGGAAGCGATCCTTATTCTGGCGGTTCCGAGTTTGAAAGGGAGAATACCAGGGTTAGTTTCTAGACTGTGTATCTGAACTTCCTGAGGTTTCGTCAGGTGAAGTGTCATCAACCTGCAAAAGGGGATTGTCGGTCATTTTTCTGGGAGGTTTGAATACTTGTTTGTGGTAGGTATTTTGTGGTGTTGTCACTGTTAGGTCGTTACTTTTGGTCACGTGTTCAGGTCGGTAGAGGGGATTTGTTTTGGATTGTCTATCAGTCAATTTTCTATAACCAATTCGGCCAGGTTCGATATCTGGGGGGTCTTTGCGTTTTTCATTTAATTTGGAAATTACGTTTGATTTCTTTTCTGACATTTTGTCATGAAGTTTACTATATAGGTCGGACATTATTTCTTTATGTTCATTGATTGTATGATTGATTATTTCTGATTGATTATCGATATCTATTGGATCTTTTAGTTCTAAGTGTCCCAATAAGAGATCAACTGGTTTTTGTTTGGTAGCCGAATGAATAGAGTTATTGTATCCTAAAACTGCATAAGTAATTTTTTCGAATGGATTCAGTTTTGGTTTGCTCAAGGCAAGAGTGCGCATATGTTCAAGAATTGTCGAATGAAATCTTTCTACGATTGAATTACTATTTGGATTTAGTGGTAAGGTAAAATGCCAGTTAATTTTATGAACTTTAGAAAAATCTTTCAAGATACTCTGCGTGAATTCTGTTCCGTTGTCGGATATAATATTTTCTGGGATTTTGTATGACGTAATGAATTGTAAGAGAGATTGATAGACATGAAGTGCAGACAGACTAGGTAAAATGTATGCTTGTCCAAATCGGGAAAAACTATCACAAATTGTGAGAGCTATTGCCTTGTCAAATTTGAATGTATCTACATGAATGGTTTCGAAAGGTTTTTTCGGTGTTGGTGTCAGTTGAAGTTTAATAAGTGGGGGATGACGTTCATATATTACTTGTTGGCAAATAGAACAATTATTTACGAATTTCCTGATGTCATCACTTAATTTTGGCCAGTAATATTTAATTTTCAGTTCATTAATAGTTTCGTGAATACCTCTATGATTCGTAATGCCTTCATGAGTTGACTTGATCAAATTTTGTTGTCTGTTTTCATTAGTAACGTCAAATAAAAGTTTATTAGATTTTAGAATTTTGAAAGCTGAATTTTTGAATATTTGGGGTAGAAAAACACATATTTCTTTATAAAGCTCTTGATTTTCATCGTTCTGAAAATACAAGACATATTGTCGTTTTGCGCCACCGAAGTCTTTCAAGAATTCAACAACTTGTGCTTGAAGTGTTTCGTTTGTCACATAGAGATACCATCTTGTTCGGCTCACTGGATTTCCGAAAATTTTCTTAGTTTCGAAACGTGGATTTTGATTAACTTTTATTATGACTATCTGACAAAGAAAATAATTCAAAGGTTTGTCGGTTATATTTATTGTCAAAATCGGGTTTTCTGCACTTGTATGTACAGTCTGATTGTCGTCGTTTTCGTCAGGGTCTACTTGTCCTATCATTGATTGATTATCAGGTTCATTACTAGTGGAAGGTCTAGGATTTTCGTCTAAAATTGGATTTTCATTATATTCTTGCATGTACTGTAGTATGGGAATGTTTTCTGTGATATTTTCGTCGTTAGTCTGTGTATCAGTGGGGTAGATTTCTACTCTAGAGAGGGCATCCGCGTTTGTGTTCATTTTTCCTTTTTTGTAAATTATCTGGTAATCATATTCTTCGAGTTTTAATCTCCAACGGACCAAACGAGAGTTTGGCTCTTTGAGAGACATAAGCCATTGAAGAGGTTTGTGGTCTGTTATAATTTTGAATTTTCTGCCAAACAGGTACGGCCTGAAATATTTTGTAGCCCACACAATGGCTAACAATTCTTTTTCAATTGTCGAGTAGTTTTGTTCTGAATCATTCAATGTGCGTGATGCGTAAGCGATAGGTTTGTCTTGTCCAATAGGGCCCTGTGAAAGAATGGCACCTACGGCAATATTACTCGCGTCTGTTGTCAGGATGAAGTCTTTTGTCAGGTCAGGATATTGAAGGATTGGGTCATTGGTCAGGAGAGATTTACAATCTTCAAAAGTTTTAATATAGAGTGGATCATTGATATTGATTTTGGACCTTTTTTCAAACATGAAGTGAATGGTTTCGTGATCTTAGCAAAATTTTGAATGAATTTTCTATAATTGCCTAAAAGTCCGAGGAATCCTTTGATTTCTCTCG